CTCTTCCATAGGAAATTCACACAACGCTCTGGGTCTTTTGTTAGCAGGCACTGCAGCATGGGGAAAGAATATCATAGTCCCCTTATCTAGTGAGGAACAGCAAAGTGTGTGGTTGCTCCTCACAGAAAAATTAACTGGCAAAAATGCTAGCAGGATGTCCGTACTGTATATATACAGGTCAATTACAACTCACAAATGAGAGAATGCAACAAAGCCAGCCACATAATTGTGATTAAGGTCAGCACAATAGTACAAAAGCCAAAGATTCGCCTGCTGGTGTACTATGTAACATACTGCATGGATAGTTTCGGGGCAATGGCCACACACAACACTTACATTCTTCGTAACGAGCACCGAGCCGTGACATTACATATCAGAATGCTGACACCTCGACTACTGCAGTAAGATGTACGTATATAAACGTGTAAGCTAGATACACAGGCTTGTACTTTAGGTCTGTACAAGGACCACGTGTTCACAACACCAGCATTAAACACTATTATGGTGTTTGGCAAACCGAACATGGAAGCTAGCAGGTAACTTCACACAGAAAAGAGTCAGTTTACGCAGCTGGAAATCAATAATAAACGTACACAACATAAACATTGGCCCTTTACGATTTGACCAGAAGACTTATCATGGTACCAAGTTTCATTGTTAGAGGACCCAGTAAGAACAGAAAGGTTGCCTTGGGCTGTTTGTTGTTCAAAAACTTGCAATGTTAATTAGGGGTTGCATAGTGTAAAATTGTATAGTATTAATAGCAGTAAGATTTTATAGCACTTTATTTGTATTACATACTACATCATTCACATCACATTTAATTTGATTGCATGATTGTTAAGAACAACAAATATAGCATACGACACTTTTTCACTTCTTTACTACTTAATATAGGCCAATAGGAGCACACTTGGATTTTGACAACAACGTTGTTACTAGAGCGGAAAAGTGTCATTTTACTGTGACACCACTACCATTACAGAATCCCAGAGTTTGAGAGTGGCACACCAGGCAACAATATAATATGATTGCGTGATAGGATCAGAGGTATGCGCTCACAATCCGCTAGTAAAACATGGCTTCATATAATTATCCCCTCCCTACAATAATATCCATACATTCCTTCTTTGAAAAATTTTTGTACCGTACATAGTGACAAGTGTGTATGCTGCAGATGTTCAGTGGAATGAATATTTCCATACCCAAGGACCTTAGATAAGCATGATGGCCCTACCCGTAAATTAGGGTCGCAACACATAATTTTAGTGTTAGCCTGCATATCAATTTTCTCTTCGTATATACGTACCTATTTCTGTCTGTATATGCTTATGTATCTGCTAAATGGAGGAGCGAGCCAACCTAGTAGTCCATTCGCCTGATTATGTTATGACCTGCACTGAAGCACGCCACCGACGACCGTTTCAATTGTCTTGAATTTTACACGCATTCCTCCTGTATACATCTGATTGTTCGACGATTTTTCGCCGAAAGTATGTACTCATGGATGCCCATTTGTCCCTCACTGTGGCGGAGGAACACCCAACTACAACACCGCTGGCGCTTCACTACCTTGGAATCAGCTTCAGAGCCATGCAAGAGAAAGAAAAAACGCAGGAAACTTGGGAACGGCGACTACAGATGGAACGCCCTAAGAGACAGCGGAGTGGTAACTAGCCATCGACTGCTATCTCGCATGAGGCAGCGTCTTGCTTCGGAGACACCTGAGGAGAGAGCAAACACGCCTTTCTCGACGCATGGTCTTCAAGATAGTGAACGTCTAAACCTGGGAGTGCAACGACTAGCGAGGGACAGAGCTCAGGTGCACACTATGTAGTCAGTTGCTGTTTTATCACCTGCGCTGGAGGAAATGACAACAATGATGTCATTAAAGCGCCTCCGTTGATGCGTGAGCCCTAAATTTTTGCCTCCAAACACTGCCACTTTCATTTCTCGCTGAACTCACATTGATATTCGAAAATTTTCGACAACTTAGTAATAAAACGAAATGTTTCACCGACAATGCATACCATTAATTTGTTCAGTATTCTGCTGATTATGAGAGTGATAAGTACCTTTATATGGCATTACACACATGCATGTTACAGGGAGTCAATTCTTTTCTCTGCCGAAGCAATCTCTATAGTAAAGCTGTAGGTATGAGCCAGCTCCAATGCTGTTTGTGCTGCCAGTCTACACTGTGGGATGTCCTGTTGACAGCGCTTCAGATCAGACTCCATGAGCAGATAGTGGCACTGAGATCGCCGTGACAGAGAGCACTGGTTGACTGCTTTCAGGCAGCTAGTGGCTTTGGAAATACTCCATTCCTCCCTCTGTGAGCCAGGCCTGTAGTGCGTTGACCCAAGATACATCTGTGCTAGCCTTATAAAGGAATGCGGTGCAACAAGATCAAGTCCAGAGTCCTGAGCCCGGGCATGGTCAATGGCATGCTCGTAGGACATATTCACGGAGCGAAGTTGTTTCTGTGTAGGATGGTCAGTCAGTGTCTCGACTTGAATGCAAGCATTGCAGTAATGTAGAAATGCCGTGTCCTCGCCTTCCTCCACCATATGTAGGAAGTGTGTAGACTTGAGTATGTGTTCATGTGCCTCATCATACTGCTGGAGGTATCTGTACAGCCGAGACAAGATGTACTCACACCTGCCACTGAGAATAGTGGAATTATCTCCATCAACTTGGGCAGCAAGTTCCCTTGCTTGAGCTACTAAATCCACTGCTTCCTTCTCCCCTCTTCGAAACACCCAACTTACAGCACTTTCAAGAAGAGCAACTACCTGGAATTCTTTTGGGATGCCAGGTCTCATCAATTTCTCCACTTCCAATTCGAGCTTGATCCACTGACCATTGTGGTGGCACTCCTGGAACATCTTCATGGTTGTATTGTATCTGCTTCCCTTCAAACAGCCATGTAGTTTTAGCTTTGAAGGGAACTGCCTTGAAGGCGATGAAACACGGACAACTGCCATATCTAGATCTTCAAGCGGCTCAAGTGAGTCATGTGGCTGATCTTCCACAAAGACCAGTTTGTATGCCTCAGAGTCAGCACTGTGGAGACACTCAGCAAATATACTGTGAGCAAGAGGTCCTTTTGAGTCCAGAACAGCAGCTATGTGAATTAGTAGGTCATTGGTTGCCCCGTGCACTTGACTCTGTAGCTTATCCCATTCCGTACAGGTGAGAAGATTCTTGCTGTACATGTGGTTTAGCAGAGATTGCAAATCACATGATGTTAATTGTTGCAAATTACTAAAGAGCTTGTCTTTAAGTGTCACCGAATGCTCCACTTCCAGATCAGATGCGTATTCTTTGTTCTCAAGTACTGGCCTGAACATATCTATGGCCAAGGTGGTTTGTCTCCTTGGTTATACACTGGTAGAAATTGAAATAAGCTAACAAGCCTATCTCTTCCACTCTTGCAATAAGTTTCTCAGCATCAGTGATGCGGTTGTGTGCTTCTAGTGGGGAAAGTAGCCTTGTTTTTACTAGTCTAATTTTCAACTCAGACAAATTAAGATATTGTACGACACTTCCATAGGAATTATATAGTCTTTCACGAATAAGTTGAGAAAGACGTAGTCTTGAGTTCTCAGGCTCTACTGATAACAAAAGACAATTCCTGCTCTTATCAGGACCAGATGAGCACTCCTCACTCTGCATAGTCCCTGGGTACTTCTGTGCAGAAGACCCTCCAGTCTTGACTAAGGCTTTGAGAAAACTACACTGCACAGGTTCAGTCAGTGTGCTCAGTTATATATAATCCCATGAATACATAGGTACTCTCCCTGGGAGAGCCCCAAGCTATTCCCAAGCCAGTATGAGTGCACAGTTCAAATATGCCATAGGTGTGCACCTATAGTATGGTTTTATATACACATACCTAAAACTAATGTACCATGGTTAACTGGTCCTAAGAGGACTCAGCTATGACTAAAATAGTAAAGATCACCATTGCTGGTTTGTATTTGTGTCCGCAGCACTATAATGCATCACATGTACTTGCCACACTGAACAGAAACACATGCTTACAACGGTCAGTAGGATACGAAATAACAACAGGTTGGTGTTCACTGATTAATCTATTACATGACTCACAAGCAGTGCCAGTATGTCCACCACAGTCCAGAACCCCATTCTCAAGCACACGAAGACTCTTTCCGCTTAGCTTGGTAACCAACTGCACCACATAACCAGTTTTCAAAAAATCCTGTGAAATATAAAGCATACAAAAATAAGGCACTGTGCCACCGCTTATATCTGATGTAACCCCAGTGAAGAAAGCTATATACAATCTGTGCTAGTGCTTATGCTATCTTGGAGACGGATGACAGGACTACTATGGCAGCAAAGCATATGTTTGTGGTCGGATGAAAGTATGCATGTGGTGTTGTACAGTATTCTACACGAGAATAGACGTTTGAGGGAACCGGCAAGGCTTTAACACATTCCAGTTGAGACGCTGAGGAAGCATGTTAACTGGTAGTGTGGAGGTGGGAGCCAGACCACGGCCAGTAAATGAGGAGGACATGCTTGTGAAGAAGTCTGGTGGAATGGCGGATATGGGGTATGGATTGACAAGGGAATCTGTCATGGAACTTGCATTTACCATCGTTCAGAAGAGTGAGCGAAGAATCCCTTTCATGTTGGAAAGGTTAGTCGTCGAGGGATTTCGACAGCGCCACAGTTATGTATCTTCACCGCCACTCTCTTACTGCCGAGCCATTTCCTCCAACCAAGCAACAGTTCCTAATTTTTTTGGCAAGCTCGGATCTCTTTATGGTCGCCTAAATCTCATTACAAAGCCTATGCAAGGGTGATAAGATTGGTATAAGTATTGTAAAAGTCTAAAGCCCGCACAGTGCAAAGGTGTCACAGCATCCAGGTATATACAGTGGTAACGGCAGACAAATTAGCAAAATGTGCTAACAAATACTGGGAAATATTGGCGCTCCATTAAATTTAGCGAGCGAATTTGGCATTTATAAAAAAAATGGCTAAAATTAATGGTCCGCCAAATTTTTTATATGTAGTTAACCACAACTTACAAAACGCTAATATTAATGGCCGCCAATATGTGGAGTATGAGTAAAACGCTAAATATAATGGCCACCAATATTTCAGGCTTTACAGTATAGCATTCAGACAACTATTGCCTCGCTGTTTAATTGGTTTAACCCCTAATTGAGGCCTTTGCTGATAGCGTTAACAGCCCTCATGCGTAAACGGCAAAGTTACTAAACAGAATGCAATGGAATAAAACAATCCTAGCAACGCAGTATAGCATCTGGTATGTGTAGTTATGTACATAGGTGAACACAGAGGCTGAATTTCAATAATTGGTACTCAATACGAAGCAGAACCAAAACAAAACCTTGACTCCTACTGTAACAAGGCTATATAAACTTGCCTTTACAAAGATACATTAGAAATTAGACATACACATAAGAACATGATTTGTTTACCAGTGGGTTGGAAGTCACCAATTCACGAGACACATCAGCAGTTGCTCTCATAAAGTCATTAGCAGTGTTGTCCAGTGCCCTGCCCAGTCCTCCCTGCAGACATTCCAACAAATCTAGTCACATGCACTAGTTTTACTTCTCATGCAAACAGGGAGTACTTTGTGGCCATTACGCTGTAGTGATTGCATGGGCTTCTGCCTTCAGAAGTGATAGGTGCTGGGCATGTGTGTTACTATGAGCATGTATGGCCACATATGATGTGGGCCTTCGTTTTGTTCACTCTTACAATGATGCAAGAACATTTTATGATGTATAAAACTTACAAAAAAGTCATCAGTTTGCTGTGAAAAAGGGAAAAAGATGGGAGTTAATATATAATGGTAACCATCATTATTAATATGTAAACACATCGATATTATCCCCACATAGAGGGAGCTGTGAGCTGGGTTGGGCACAGGATTTTCTGGGATGACTGGGTAAAAGTTAGCACATTCCTTGGGTGAAAGGTTATTACTGTACTTCGACATGTGTCACGCTTAGTGATGCATGTTGCTACATTCAAAAGTATGCATCACGTGTGGTTGTCTAGGAATGTTACTGCATAGCATGACGTGCAAAGAAACAGATACGGACAAGCCAGACCCTAAGACTCCACATGGACGATGAAGAGTAGAATTGAGAGGGTAGAATCATTCTTCCTGATACAACACCGAATTCCACGTACATGTAGTGTTCCCAGCAGCAAAGAGACCACACTGTCGTTGCATTATTTTACACTCTAGCCTACTGTGTGATTGTTAGCTACACAGCTGTTGCAGTCACATGCACTGGGAGCCTGCCACGACCAGTAACATGAGGGATTTTAGCAGAGATGGAAGATGGCTGTAATAAGCTATAGAGCTAAGACTAGGTGCTGACAAGGCTAAAAGTGTAGATGCAGTGGAGACTAGCCTCGGTCCCAGGCCTTCTCCCTTCTCCCCACAAATAAATATGCATGACCTTTGAACCATGCTCAAAGTTAAGGAGGGAGAAGGCCTGCAAGATTTTCATCACGTGACACACGTGGCACAAATGTCACCGTGTGCATAAGCTTTACACATAATCTATATGTAGAGTGATGCATGGTGACGTTTGTGCCACGTATCACGTGATGAAAATCTTCCAGGCCTTCTCTGTCTTAACTTTAAATTTGCACCTGGTTCAAAGGTCACGTGTATTATTTGTAGGGGGGAGAAGGCCTGGGATCGAAGCTAGTGGAGACTAAACAAGTGTTGGATTGGAGAGCACGCATGCAGCTATGCAACCGATAAGAAACACATGGGCATCTGGACATTTGGGAACGTAACCAGATGGCCAGTTCTTCAACCGATGGCCAGTAAATGAACCAGACTGATTTCCATCCGGATGGAACATAATAGTTACGAACATGTACACTGTACTAGAGTAAGAAACATGATGTTCGTGTCTGCGGAATGCAACCAGCATGAAGCTTTTGTAACGCTACTCCTTACACTTCTGACGGTAGGTTGGCTGACCACAACAGGTTGAATAACCACAGTGTGCTGGTGGGCAGCAGGGGGAGGGTTGTAAGGATTGGATGCCATTTTCTCTAGAGAAAAAAGGAACACCGAGCAGCTAGCTGGGAGTGATAGCTGACAGCTCACAAAGGCCAGTCATTAACGCCATGGTACACATATCTACTTACTGTTGGGTCCGCTCTTCTTTAGTACACGGTGTCGCAGCGAAGGACGGAGAGTAAGGTGCCTCACTGGTCACGTCACACGCCAGGATGAATCAGCATGCAGGTGCTCCACCCACCTTACTGTGTACGTTCAGAGACCATGCAGATTGGAATCAGGACAGATGCACGAAAAAGAGGCGTCGCTGCTCGAGGCAGCTGCTGTGTGTGTGACACTTGAGGCTAAAATGGAGCAGGATTTCTTGAGCGTGGCGTTATCCCATGAAACTGAGGCTCGAAAAAAAAAGCCAAAGCGAAGAAGAGTGGGTAGAGGCCGAGATTGGGCGTTTGTTACACCATGCGGAGGTGGATGACGAAGATGAAGCAAGGTCAAGCCCAACTTCAGAGCTCCAGGTAGGCTTTGCTCTATCGGGGTACGTATAATCGTTCCTGCTGTAGGCTGTTGATGAGAGGTGGAAAGGAGACTCATGTGTTGGTCATGTCTTCTCAGCCTACCTTTCAAGCCTGGAATGCCGTCAGTCAGACGAACAAGACCTCATTTCTGATGCATTCTCTGCACTAAATATGGCAACAGGTATATACATAATATGTAGCTAATTGTTCAAAATAATGTGCTATGCTGGTGGGAACTTTCATGAAGATAGCACTTTTAAATGACAGACACTTGTGCATGACACATTGTTCACTTCACTATTGTAGTGAGACAGTGACTGGCCCTTCCTTTGATCACTATTGTTGCAGCACATGAACCCCTACTTTTGATGGATGTGTAGAGTAGCACTGCCCACTGTAACAGATAATGTGCGTTTGAGAGTGATATACTGGAATGAGGGGGTGTGGTGGATAGATTCATACAGCAGGAGGCACAGAGTGCTGTATGGGTCTCGAGACCACAACTTGAGTTCCCGTAAGTCATGTATAGAGCGATAGGACGGACATTGTGTGTGTTATTGTGACTTTGTAGCAGCCGTCGACCTCCAGTGAGAGAAATTTGACAATGTAGCATACTTCCTATGCACATGTGTCACATCACGACCTTGTTCGGTAGCCTCGAGAACAGAGAACTCGCTTGAGAACCTAGCGAGTGCACACAACTCGTTTTATAGGTCACTGGGTCGTTTGACCGGTCGGTGTGCCGCTGCCGCGGTCTCGCTTCCCACAGGTAGCAAGAGGATAGCTGAATGAAGGGGCGTGGTCGCCTCAGCCACCCTTTGCCTCTACAGCACAATTTATGTGTACACTGTGTGTACAATGCTGATGCTGTTTTTATTGAACGTTCAGTATTGGTCATCCAGAATGTTGTTGAATACAAAAATGAGGATAGATAGATGTGATCTTGAGTAGGGCTGGGGAAAGCACTTCAGAGCCCCACCTGCTAAGGCCCCATATATTCTGAGTATATACTTCCTCTGACAGGTCACCCTCCTCAATTATTCCTGGCTATGGTTGAGACACCAGTGCCCCTTAGACAGAAGATGACAGCCTTTTAAAGACCTACAGAGGTAGAAAGCTTCCCAGGGGAAAACCAGATAATATGTAGTTGTAAGAAAAGAGGAGCCTATAAATAGTAACCACCTTGTTCGGAATACTATGTGAAGGTGCATGTAGGAAGGGTGCTGATATACTGCATCCAATATTAGGTCCACTGATGTTTAGGTGAGTAGTGTGTAGCTTCAATGTAGTAGTATCCCAACAGGTGTAGCTACTGACTGTAGAGTGCACTCCTCAAGAGAGGAGGATATATTATTGTCAGAGCTAAGACCAGTCTCCTGAGGGATTACTCACTACTGTTGGCATACAACACAACACTGTCAGTGTACAGAGAACACAGACATTCACCTCTAACAGTGCTACTTCAATTACTTTGTGATGCAGTTACAGTCCCCTAATACACCTTCCGGCTAGTTAAAGACAGTGTAGTTCACCTACACTTTGAAATGAGTCAGCTAAATTATGCATATTAATTTGTGCTTAGCTATAAAAGTTCGCTGATCATTTGCACCCATCCTTATTCATTTAAGATCAATCAATGGCACCCATTGCTGCCAGTGCAGAGGAAAGTATCATCAACCTAAGAGACTCATGTGGTGCTATTGACATAACGTTGTGGTTGTAAAGATACATTTTGCAGTTGCAGGGCTCATGCTGTCCTGTCAAGGGTATGTACAGCAACAGATTTGTTGGATGTATAATATATACCTAGGCAACTGACCTCTAGTAACCCTGCATGCAGGCAGGAGTGTATAGGCTGATAACATTCTCCAGTACCTAATATCATACATGTTGGAAACCTAACTGCATTGCTTCAATGTGCTGGCCATCTGCACACAATAACAGTTTTCTAGATAAGTGTAAATACCAACAAAGGTGTATGAATAAAAGATCAAAACACAATCGTAGTGGCTAGTGAGAGATGTTGTTGTTCTGGTATTGCTTTTCATTTAGTGTTTATAGTCAAGAAATGCGTTGCTGACAGTAGTTCCAAGGTTCACAAATCGTCCCACTACTCTTTATCGTACTACTACATATTAATGTCAAACATTTTTTCAAGCAATCAACCTTAATGTTTTAGCTGACTTAATTTATTAAATTCTGCACAAGCAAAAAATCAATGTTTTGCAGCATTTGAGGCATTGCTCTGGTTAACGGCAGCTTTTTGTGATTTTCACACAGCATTCTTAGGCTAATTTACACTTGAAAAACAGATGTGATCGGTACATTTAGGCTTCAGTAGGACTTATGTGTAACAAAACCACAAGGGCTAATTGAAGAGTTTCATAACTGCTGATGATTGTATTCTCAGATGGAGACACCAGTAGATTAGTATAGGGTGCCGTCATAAACTCTGTGCGACTTGTTGTCTCTGCTTCCTAATTCTTCTCTTTCCGTACGCTTGCTTGTGATCAGACATAAACCAGTTTGACTCATACTACGTATCATATCCTTGTATATATAAAAAGAGTGTTACTGATGCTGTGTAACAGGGGTTTCTAACACTCCAATTTTTTGCACCATGCCAACATTCCACTTAACTTGAGCTCACTACCAACCTAATAATTCATGCTCAAGGACAGTTGGAGGGTTGTACAGACTTTGTATGATTGACAAAGCAAATTTTCACTTGGCAACTTCATATGTAAGTCAGAACAGTTTCCTCCTTATAACTTCCTCGGGTGATGCCCAAGCCTCCTCTCGACATATTCTTCGTGAGAAATGATGAATTGGTGAGAACTGATTTTGTGGAGAAAGAGAAAGTACATATGTTTCATAAAGCAGGTGGATGAATGTAAAGAAAGAAGGTGATTATACCACCAACGTACGTATATACACACTTTCTGCAGCATTGCTGCAAGGAAGGTCTACACTGTGTCACTAATAATTATGCCAAAGTTCCCTCACTCAAACTGTTCCAGTGTATTAATCATAGCTCAATGAAATCTTCAAAACGTGTACATACATGTACCTAGCAACTTCTAATGGACATAACATGCCGTATGTACCAAGCGATGATAAATGCGCAAATGTGGGTAAATTAATTAACAAAAACATTTTAAACAAGATGATCATGCTGCAGAATGAGAGAACGGCACTCCACTTTCATCCACGTGGGCTGGCTTGTTTAGCAAACCATTTGTAGACAGTGCATTTGCAAGAGGGAAAAATAATAATGGATTGTCTCTGTTTGTGTAGTGTCTCTTTATCTAAGAGAGAGAGAGAGTCCTTTTGGCGTTCAAGAAAGTGATGTCACTAACCCTGTAGAACATGACAGGAACAAAACACACACTGTTTGGGGTAGCATTCCTAACGGTGTCTAGAACATCCCTCTCAATTTACCATAGTCAACCTTTGCACATTGCTCCATTTTCTACCGTATACATCCTTAGCCCACGCAGGCCTTTCGAGTGTTTGATAATAGATACGGTTAGATAATTGGCTCCGTATTAGTCAGCGAGTATAACACCCTAAAGCCTGCACAAAATATTGTTCCCATTTTTAGTTATTGTGTGTATAAGTATTGGGATACCTTCGTAGGTTGCAAAACAAGAGATACTTAGCAATACCCTATAATGATTGATGGTTGCCTTTTATTCAGGTTCTTTGGCTAAGAGACCAGACAACAGTGTTAAAGAAGTAAGTTTTCTACTGTCGCCTTTTAATAATGCACTGTTCATTGTTTTCTTATGTACAGCGTGTGTAATTATAGGATAGTATGGCTGTGTATTAATGATAAACTTGTGCATCAGATAATATGCTTCGCTGATGACTTTTGTGTTGTGTATACAAGGTTTGTATGCCAACCCATTGCACACATTGCCTACAATATGCTGTTACTGTAAGTAGCTCAATTCATGCTTGTAACCAGTGGATAAACCAGGGTATATATAATTGGCCAGTGAACTGAGCCTACCTACTCGTCTCAATGCGGGCGGGAATTTTCTACATGTGACGTCTCTGTCGGGCACTGCACATGTACCATAATGTTCTACGTGATTGCAAAACACACGCAAAACAATATAGAACTGCTTCTGCTCGCTTGCCAACAAAGCGTTGCATTCCTCTAGTGATATTGTCTGTGTACACACTTGTCCGCTTATAAAGGATAACGAAAACATGTACATGAAGTGAACCCTAGTTGGAACACACCTGATGTTCATGAAGCACTCAGATAAAACATAAAACCTGATAATCAAAGCGAAACAGTGTGCTTGCTTTTGAAGTCTGGGAAGGCCCTAGTGTGAGATGGATATATTTCCCACCACAGGTTATTACAGATCTTACTCTTACTCTTTCCCGTTTGGAGCAAAAAGAAAGCAATACTCTTGACTCAGTGACTATAGAAACTTATCAGATCGAAGAAAAGGGGAACACTGAAGGTGAAGCCCAGCTCAAGAAGAAGACTGATTCCACTACTGTTGAAGGGGTTAACCTAAAACGAACAGTAAACTCAGCTTATAACGAAGAAAGAAGGGCTGATTTTACATCCAACCAACAAAGAGAGGCTGTGGCTGTGGTGGAAGCATCACCTATATTGGAGGGCTCCAATTCTAGTGCAGAGGGAATCTCAAAAACAACGACCGTCGGTGACTCCTCAGATAATAATGACAGTTCACGTTATGACCAGGACGGGTCCAGTGAGTCTGGTGACCTCTGTGACCTTGAGTTAGGGCCGGATGAGTTGAGTGACGAGGTTCTGGCTGTTTTTGAACAGGTCAGGAATGACCAGAGGACATGTGAGGAACAGCTTTCTACAGAACAGAAACAACGAGAGGTACATACGTACATATGTGCGTGTGTTGGTATGACCAAACTAACTTCATTACAGATGTGCTTCAGTTACTTTATAACAAACCAACAACCACTAGTCAGGCTTTTACATTTATGTATAGGCTGAGCTCACCATGGAGATAGAGGAAGCACAAAGAATGATTGCTGAATATCAAGAGGCAGAGGTGAGGTTCAATGTTTTTGACACACTTGTAAGGGGTGTACTGCTATACCCGGAGGTTCTTGGGTTTATGAGCGCATAAGCGCTGGCACGGATGGCTTTCTTCACCGGATTACCTCAGAGGTTCATGGGTTATGCAAAAACCCTGTAGTTTTGCTATTCCTCCTTCGATTGTTTAAACTAAACAGGCCATACTTACTCTCCAGTAACTAGTAGTTCTGCAGTTCACCAAACATAACGATTCTTAGTTCAGTTGTACATTACACCTACTCGTCATCCTCAGCAGGGTGAATTTTTTTGCTGAATTAATTACAATTCAGGGTTTTGTACAGGATTGCGTTGGGACAATAAGGGGTTTTATGAAATTGATAATTTGTTTGTGGCGGTTCATGTTAAATCGTTGACGGATGATACAACAAAGTCATTCCTTTTATATAGGTTTATAGCTGAGCTGATCATACAGTTCTTTGGTGATTTGAAGTACACCCTTTACCTTAAGGCTACCTTTGTAGATGTCGGCTTGCCTCAACGGCACCGGCCTCATTCACACAACCTCCTCTGCGTTAGGGGTGATAGCAACACCACCAAACACTTCCTTAAGGACTCCATTGTGGTAGAGGCTTCTGTCCTCATAACATGTAGTGTGCACAGCTCAGGTGTTCCATTTGCAAACACAAGTGGGGTCGATCGGTCAGTCAGTGATGTGCCAATGATTGTGAGCTTTATACTAGCCATTGTTGAAGATGACAGACCTGTGTCAGTGATGTGCTTTTACTTGCCATACGTACCTCATGCTATTTCTGCAAACATTAATTTGTACAAAGGGTAGTGAAACTGAATAACACTAGAGTAGCTAAAGTGCAAGGCAAAGAACTCATACTGACTTGGCATGAAGCATCAACCGAACAAATTCAACCCTTAAAACATTAACAGCGCGACTCTGTGTATGTGTATAGAGCTGTATAATCAGAAAGGTGCTAAGTAGGACGAGTGCATAAGCGTGGTACAAGGATGTGTGACCTTACAGCAAAGCAACTCGTTGTCAGGCAATTTTAGGAGCAACTTATAAGTGTGCTGGTTTGTAAGGTTATAATGTGTGGGTTTATGAGTACATAAGGAATTGTACTGGTTGCTTTCTACACAGCTAGAGCTCACAAATCAACTTTTTATAACGGTAAGTCATGCATAACAACACATGGCTGACTGACTTCATAGCCATCAATTGTGGTATTGTGTTCTACACTAATTCCTTTCCTTCATATGTCCTACTACTGACATTAACAGCTATTAGTGCATGCGAAGGCTGGTTATCCAAACATTATTACAAAGGTAAAGACAACATTGTGACACACTGTTTACTAGGTGTTTGGATGTGCACCCGACTTTGCTTTTGTCTCAGAGACGTCTAGTCTTGTACGATGGAGCGAGGTTTTGCTGTAGTTTGTATTCTTTGTATCGTGTCAGAGTGGACTTCAGCTGGAGAATTGAGCTGCACTGACTGTATTGTTATCAGCAGTCAATATGGAAATGATTCCCTTTCTTGTCTGCTGACTTCTGATAGACCCTGTCACAGCCTCAGTTATGTTTTTAACAACTCTAATATATCTCTGAATGATGTGGAAGTTATTCTTGAAGGAAATCACTGGCTCAACCAAACCCTCACTGTGTCTGGTGTCAGGGGTCTCACTATCCGTGGTGATGGAAACACAGCTCCTGTCATCAAATGTCCACTTCCTTCTGATGCAGCTGACGAGGGCCATGGGATTGTGTTTGCATCTGCATCAGATCTGAAAGTGCAAAATGTAGTATTTGAGGGATGTGGAACTCTGCAGTACAGCACTACAGTAAGAGACTCTGCAAGCATCAAATACCGTTCTGCTGTCTATGTTATCAACAGCACTGACATTGACCTCAGTGGAACCAGTTTCCTCAGGAATATTGGCAAAGGTCTATCGCTGCATGACGTTGATGGTCACGTTAAAGTAAGCAGCAGTATATTCAGGGAGAATATGGTCCCTCCAAATGAACTGTTTGGTGGTGGGAGCATTTACGTTGAGTTTACTCACTGCTCTCCTGGTGTTTCAAGATGCAACCCTGCAGCAAACACACACAATAAGCATAGCCGATACTTGATCAAGAATTGCTCTTTTGAAGGAAACAGGGCCACTAATGCAGAATTCATCAATCAGAGCCATATTGTTCAGTTTAGCATTTTTGATGGCAAGAATGCCGGTCAAGGCGGTGGACTTCATATCATTATCCAAGGCACCAGCTACAATAATTTAATTGCTGTTGAGAACTGTACTTTCCGCAATAATTCGGCAGTGTTTGGAGGAGGTATTGACACTCTGTTTCTAGACAGTGCCAGCAACAACACCTTCTACGTGAAGGACTGCATTTTTGAAAGCAATTTTGCCCCTCAGAGGGGTGGAGGGGCTTTACAGCTTGGTGTCTATGGATTACGAAATGTAACACGGAACATGATATACGTCCAAAATACACTTTTTGTAGACAACTTTGCTGGCTGGGGAGCTGCCGTTGCATTTTTCTCCAGTCTGTCTCACACTGACCTGAGGAATAGCCTGACGTTCACTGAATGTGTGTTTGAAGGGAACTCGGCATCAATAGGAGCTGCTATCGCATTGAAGCCTAATGCAGTGCAGTCTGTACATGAAGGTAGAGCTCCCATCACACATTTTTATAATTGCACATTTGTAAAGAACAGGATAATTAAGAGTGGAACATTTCTCAACATTGCGAATGATGGGTTATCCCAGCATGTGTTGGAGTCTGGTATACTCGACGTTGCATCATCACACGTAAAGTTTTCAAAATACATGACATTTATTGAGAATAGCGGCAGTGCTGTAGTTGCTAATTCAGGCCAGGTGAATGTGTTGGAGAATGCTGTGGTTGTGTTTGTGAACAACACTGCCACCAATGGCGGAGCAATGGCTCTTCTTGGTTTCTCAGTCCTAGAACTGTACCCTGGCTCTCGAGTCATCTTCCACTCAAACACTGCCACTGAACTTGGTGGTGCAGTGTATGCCACTGCACCCAATCAACTGGAGTTTATAATCTCTCACAAGTGCTTCATCTCCTTCAAAGGCTTGAACTTCAACGATCCTGAAAATTGGAACACTACACTCGTGTTTATAGACAACTCTGCTGGGTATGGATCAGCTATCTTCACTGACTCAGTCCTTCCCTGTGTCAAGCAGATCGGTAACCTATTCACCAACATCTCTGCAGCATTTCGGTGGAAGTCATTTGAGATTTTACCTGATATTGGGCAGTACACTATAGCGACTAGTCCAACAGCCATTAACTTCACTGTTCCACAGGTTATCTCTCCAGGAGAGAGCATCTACCTCAACATAACCTCACTTGACGACCTAGACCAACCAATACTGTCGTCATTTAAAGTTACCCTGGATAGTGCTGGGGGAGTGGTGAAAACAAGCGCCTTTGTTTCAGAAGATGGCCACTTGCAAATAAGAGGGGATCCTGGCACAAATTTCAACCTCACTCTTTTGACACAAAGCACAAGACACGTATCAGCAACTAAGTCTGGCAGAATGGGAAACTGCCCTCTTGGTTTTGTACTTCATAAAGATACGTGCGTCTGTTCAACTGGAACTAAGGCGGAGCTGGTCGGTGTTATAGGTTGTGACATGGAAAGATTTCAAGCAATTTTACAAGTCGGCTACTGGATCGGTTGTTCAAAATCAAAGACCCTGACTGGGATATGCCCCTTCAGCTACTGCAACTATGAAGCCTCTTCTGCAGTCCTAATTCCTAGAACTTGTGAGGATCTCTTGACATCCAGTGTATGTGTTGAGCACAGAAGAGGGCAGCTGTGTGGAGAGTGTGAGGAAGGATATTCAGCATACTTTCACTCTGAGAAGTTCAGCTGTGGAGAGTGTCGGTACGGTGCGCTGGGACTGCTTATCTACATTTTGGCCGAATTTCTTCCTCTTATCGTCGTCTTTGCCTTGGTGATGTTATTCAAGCTGAATTTGACGTCTGGACTTATGCAGAGCTTTTTACTTTTTGCACAGACATTTTTCATTCTCAACCAGATCCCTTCACTTATTCCAGTTTCGAAAATCTCTCTTACTTTCATTCGCATCCACACGCTGATTGTTGGATTTTTCAATATGTACTTTTTTCACATTGATGAGATGTCATTCTGCCTGTGGAGAGGAGCCACCGTACTTGACACCGTTGCTTTTCACTTCGTCACCACCTTATTCACTATCCTTCTCCTTGCTCTCTTCGTACTTGTGTTGAACCAAAGAGTGATTAATATTGAATCCATCGTAACTCACAAAGTCATCAAACAAATAGGCAAAAAGATTCCACTTCAGAAAAATTCAGTCATACATGGTATATCGGCCTTTCTGATTCTCTCGTATACTCAGTACACTCTGACATCTTTCGAGATTATAACGCAGCTCCCAATATATAGAGAGGGTGGAGTGATAGACCAGTCCGTGTCCTTCATGCAGGGCAACTTGCAGTATTTTGGAGTGGACCACCTCCCCTATGCCATTCCAGCAGTGCTCGTCCTCATCTTCCTCTCCTTCCCTCCACCTCTCCTCCTGATGTCTTACCCTCTTTTGTGGAAGATCAAAGCCAAACTCAGACGAAATGCGAACTTCGGAAATGATACCACCATCTGGCCAATTCGAAAACTCCTCCCTCTAATTGACTCTTTCCAGGGTGTCTTCAAGGACAACTACCGTTTTTTTGCTGGTCTGCTTTTCATGTGGAGGATTATTCTGACTGCCATATTTTCTTTTGCTTCCAACCATGCAGAGTTTTTCCTTCTGACTGAAATATTTCTCCTCATGATATTTGGCATTCACACTCTGGTGAGGCCATATAAGCAGCGAATTCATAACATTGTTGATGGACTCATGCTTTTCAATATTGCGCTCATAACCTTACTGAAGTGGTATACATCGGTACCATCCGTTGATACTGCAAGCAAGCAAGCTATTGACTTCCTGATATTCCTACAACTCTTTCTCATGTATGTTCCCCTGGTTGGCTTAGGAGTGTATGGTGTTTTTCAGTTATTGAGGTCCTGCAAGATCATTTCAAAGGGGCTCAAATCTTCGTCCTCGCAAACCCAGAATGAAAGTAATGTGCAACAGAGTGTTAAAAAGACATCTCCAAAACGAAAGAAGGCGAGTGCGGACGAAGATCTCTTTAATCGTGCTTCTGAGCTCAACAGTTTCTCCACCAGTGTTACCTGCAGTGAGGTAGGTGCTTGCTTTGAAACTGGCAGTATCCCCTCCACCACACTGAATACCGGGTTCCCATGATGCTGAAGAATTTGACTGTGACCATATTACCATTGTTGTGAACAAAAGTTAACTATGCACCTTTTTATCGTAAAGTTTGTGTTCGTTTTGCAAGAGTATCATACAAGCACTCTTTATACTATTCGTATGTATACTGAGGCACTAACTCGTCCCATGCACGTATGTTATACTACCATGGGAACACTAGCTTCATACTTGAAATAATGTCATCATCCCCTTCAACAGACATCTGTGGATATCTACACTTGACAGCTATCATTACTTTTGAATATACAGGAACAAGGATGTTTACCTTAAGTTGTTTACTCCCATTGTCTATCGAGTTCATACTAGGGTTATGTTGACACATTGAGTGACTATAATAGTGCTCTTATCGATTGAGTGGTGGGTGATATGCTAGAAAGCAACGTAGGACCCTGTTTATGTATAAAAAAACCAGACAGTGAAGTAAAATAATCATAAATGTGCTCATGTGTTTGATGATCGAGGCCAGCATAAACATAGAGTGCACACTCATTCATCAGTATACTTGCACTTGGAACTTTAAATGTGACATAAATCTTGTATCAAGACTGCATGCAAAAATGGATAAAAAATATCAGCATTTCCTGGGAATTATTAACACTGAGTGCCGAACTTTTACTTAGAACCTCTGATGTGACATAAAGTAGGGGATATAATTTTTGTATTGCAAGAAGGCATTCACCACCTTCATTTCTTACGCTGATCTGTACATACTGTACGTCTTGGCACAATGGGTGAAGTATGCACACAGATTACGACAAGGAATGTTATACCACAACTTTATGCTGAAGACAACATAAAGGTAGAAATAGCAGCTCTACCAGTGGATTCACCCATCACCTCTTTTTCCCGAGCAAGTGTTACACATATTATTATGACTGTGCTCTACAAGGCAGTTGAAATGAGCTCTTATTCTGCATGAGAGAGTGCTCAACTCTTAAGGGAGCGAGATTACGTACAATTAAAATGTGTGTGACGTACAATGTAACAAGCATGGGATCAGGAGTGCATCGAGAAGAAAGCTACTGTGCCAACACATGCACCTTTGCCTATTAGGGTAATCTTACATTCATCTTTTATACAGCGTAGTATTCAAGCAAACCCCACAAGAATATGAATAGTGGCACATACATCAGTTTTGGCACTGTTGTGTAAAATAGTTTAGTGCTATCATATAGTATGGCCCTGTGCATATTTATACCCTGTAAAAATCAATCTTGGTGATGATGCTCACGTTAGCCATAAGCTTTTGTAGATCCATAAGTTAGCTCAGTCTTCAGCGAAGCGAGTGTAATTAGTTGCTTCAATGTGGGTATTTTATCGATCTGTCTGCAGGCCCTGCAACACTCTTCGTTACCTTTATTTGTGTAAACCATGTGGGAATAACCCCCGTGTTTGCCTACCATACATGTGTTGCAATCCTTGTTTGAAAAGCCAAAGTACTTGCTTAACTATAGCCAAACAACTTCTGTGTTTGAATAGATCCAAAGGGCAAGAGTGTTGGAACAAGCGAGACATAGGGCAGCAGTAACACTTCAGGCACACTGGAGATGCTACTCAGTAAAGAAGATTTATGGAAGCCAGCTGGAGGACTTAAAACAGCAACGACTACAAAGAGTATATAGATCAGCGCAGCGGCTGCAGTCTATTTGGAGAGGGTTTGCTACTCGCAAACAGTATGGCCCTGTGCTTGAAGCACAGCGAGCTCTAAGACTAGAGAGCCTACAGGCTGAGGTTAGGAATCAGTGTGCTACAAGAATCCAGGCTCTCTGGAAAGGCTTCCGTGTTCGGCGTATCCATGGACCAGCATTGTCTGCTCTAAAACAGGAGAGGCTTCGTGAAACTCGGAGGATAAGAGAGGAGCTGAATCACAAACTGAATGCCAAGGCCACTATCATTCAAGCAAGCTGGAGAGGCCACTATGTCCGTCAAACATACACTCCACTACTGAGAGAACGAATGGGAATCTGGAGGGAGGAGATGAGTCACAGGAGGAACCTAGCTGCTACAAGGTTACAGGCTCACTGGAGACACTGTGAGAGACAGAGGATGGGACAGTGGCTGCTAGAGGAGAAAAGGAAGAAGAAGGTTCTTGAGGAGAAGCGACACAGAGCTGCCTGTGTCGTCCAAGCATACTGGAGAATGCACTGCTGTAGGAAACAGTTCCTTCAATACAGAAAAAGCAAGAGCAGTGATGTTTCTGAGCCATCATCTGCAGAGGGACCCAAGAGGTCTTCACGCTCACCGGGCAGACTGAGCGTTTCACGACGACTTGAATCAGCCTTGAGCCTTAAGTCACACAATGCTGCACCTGTCATCCATAAGCAAGGAACTCCTTGTAGTCAACGAAATAGTAACACAACATCCACTCATCAAGGTTTTGGAATCACCGTTGAAAATGAGCAAGATGAGATTGTGCAACCTGAGCAGCAGGCCTTGATGGCTCTTCAAATTAGCAGAGAGAGGGAAAAATTTGCAGCTCAGCAGGCCCGGATCAAAATGAGTCAGGCTATGATGCACTCAGAGGCCGAGAGAGTGAGTTTTTACTGATGAAAAATAATAATATGCAATTCGCATAGCATGAAGCCTGTATGTTTACAACAGGAATCCAACCACCTTGGGATTGGTTACGATACTTGTATGTGTCGTGGGACAACATGTGCAATTCTTGTAGCATAATATTGTCTCAATGTACAGGCACTGCAGGAGAAGCAGAGCTGTGCCAGCTATCAGAATGAACTCAACCACTGCTCAACTCCAGTGGCAGCACAAGTGTGGCTGGACGTGGTACACCAGAGATTACAACAATGGTTCAACTCCATCACCCCCTGGAAGTATGCAATACTTATAGCAGTAATAATACCATAGTTTTTGAGCCTGAACTACTTTGTATTATCTTTGTAGGGAACCACCTCTACCCATAACTGTAGGAGAACCAGTTCCTATCCCCACTGCCAGGTATGTGTACATGATGGAAAGACATGGTTACTAGCCAACATACCTAGGCACTTTTCGCACTACGTTCTTTTATTAAATAACAAGATAATTAAGGATAGTGTAATCATCTTGTATCTGTCATACAGATGTGTACTTAAGTCATAGTTGTTGAGTGAAGCATACTCTTTTGTGTTATGACAGACATCAGCCTGTCACCAAGACATTATCAAGGGCTGATCTCTTGGCTGCTTCCCCTGAAGAAACATCTCCAAGCAGGGTACTGGGTACTGACATTGTACGGTTACTAACGTTTCTCTAGCTTAACTGCGCAAAACGAGAGTATATGTTCTCACAGTGTATGCCCGTGTGTATTGCAGGACTGAATAGCCGTATAGCTATAATATCTTGGCATTTATGACGGTCGGTATTATAGCCATGACATAAAAAACAAGTGTGAGCTGCTCTGAAAAATACAGTACATCTGTGGGTATGGGTGTGTAGACAGCACAATACAATGTAATGTCTACCAGATTGTACGATGAATCAGATTAAAATAGCATGTATCAACCCCAATAGACGCCTGTGGAATGAACTTATTCACCTACACGTACATCCACAGCCATTGGCAGTTGAACTATGTTTGTGTTCAAGTTTCCCCCCCGTGTATTTGGATGTGCATTATACTGTATAAACCGGTTGGACACTTGTGTATTTACATAGGTGGAGCATGTGCTGCTGAATGAGCTGAACTTTGTTCCCGATGTTAGCAGTCTATCTTGCTGCCATCAGCTTTGCTCTCTGGACATCATAAATTGCGGACTTTCTTCTCTTACATCCCTACCTTCTAATGTACCCATAGCTGCTCTCAATTTACAGGTATGGCACAATGCACATTTCGATTATTGTGTGATTTGGTGTCACTGCCAGTAATACCTGGTTGTTTCCATAGTTTAGCTAAAACTTTGGAAAACCGAACACTGCACTGTTTCTACAGGGGAATAATCTGGAGCAGATTGACCTGCAAAGTGTAGGCTCTACACTAAGGTTCCTTAACCTCTCAGAGAACAAACTGAGCTCTGTACATGGCCTTGAGGGATGCTCCAATCTCCTAGATTTGGACATTTCTGGAAACAGGATTACCAGACTGGGTTAGTTTGAATGTCATTTGTCATTAATTGAGCACCACAGTGTTCCAAATGTTCAAAACTGCTGTGTTAAAATGTGAGGCCTGACTAGCTTTAGTACTGGCACAGTAAAACTGCTCATAGCTGGCCTGGCCATCACTATTAGTGTTGCTTCATGCATATTGCACACAATCCACTTTTCCATTGCCCGAGGCACTGCGAGTGTGTAAGAGACTCATGTTACACTGAAGATTTGCACTCATAGTGCTTTTGCTGCTACTGTTATTTTTTTAATATCAAAGTTTCCCACTCCGTCTTTAGGAGGTTTGGGTTGCTGCTGGTATCTGCAGAATTTGTCAGCAGAGAGTAATCTGTTGGTGGGCTCTGCTGGTCTTGAGAACATGCCGTATCTGCAAACGCTCTCCTGCGCAAGAAATCACCTTCCAGTAGCTCCAGATGTTTCCCACTCTTCATTGCTCTCTGTGTTACACCTGCAGCAAAACAACCTGCAAGAGGTGTGTAATTGTGCTTGAAAAACTCATTACATGGATCTTGTTGGCCTGTGTTTACTGTAGTAAGGCATCGTACATAAGGTGCTCTATGTTAACCCAACCTTGTTACATTTTAGTTAGTTTGTATTGTGTGTCATGTGAATTTGTCCATTACAGGCCCCTGGGCTGCCACACCATGTTGTGTTGAGGGAACTAAGGTTGGAGGACAACAGTCTGACTGATGTATCCCCTCTCTGCCAGGCCTGGCTACCTCTCCTCCAGACTCTCTCCCTGGCTAGGAATTGGTCAGATATTATTGTAACTCTAGAATAAAGTGAATGCAACGAAGTGTATACCTTTGTACTGCTCTATGTGATTCTGTGCAGACAACTGGGCAGGCTCGCTTTTAATCGCCAAGTGATGATTTAGTATTAATACTTTTTCTACCCTACTGGCCTGATGAATTTGAAGATGGCCAATGCCTTTCCACTACCCTTATCTAGTAGTTTGGGTCTTATAACTGCTTCTCTTTTCCAGCATAACACACTTGGATTCTCTTCTGCCGCTTATTATGCTGAATATTCTTGACATAAGCAACAATTCTATATATGGTAAACCATGTCTATATTGTACATCTCTTGTTTATGATGATTGAGGAAGTATTTTGTGCTTTATTTTGGCTTATAACCAATCTTACAGCACTTTTTAAACTCATTAATCCAGATTTGCCTATGCTACTGAAGGCGTTACATGGTTGCATGGAGCTGCGGCAGGTCAGTCTGGAAGGCAATCCAGTTGCGCAGGAGCCACAGCTACTCTCTCACCTTATCTCTGTGTTACCACACCTGGACTCAGTGGACGATCAACCTCTCTACCACCCACTGCCTGAGAAGGTTCAGTTATACACTAGACTGATTTCTGTCTAGCTTCTTTCATTTAATGCCTAGATTGCAGAGTGTCATGGTTAGAGTCCCAGCTCTTTTTCCTTCAGTAAAAGTTTTCCGATGGGTGTTGTTGATTTTTCTAGTTTTGCTTTGATACTTACACTCATGATTTATCCGTAATACTTAGCATAGAATTTGGTTTTGGTGGTGGAGTTGGTTTAATTACCTCCACTAGTTCCTATGTTAAGTTTTTGATTCCTGTGCCCTACATGGAGTAATTGTGGGGTTTACCTGTGTTGCATTATAGACTTTGAGGCCTCCTGGCTACTGAGGTGCCTTGGTAGTTCAGCTGGTAGACCACTCTGCCTAGATTGCATAATGTGAGTCCCATCTATGGCAGCTGTTTTTCTAGTCCTGGGTGTCATTGGCTTTCATACCCCACATGATTATATGCACTATGGTACAAGTCGTTCCATATGGTACGGAAAAATGGTTACGTGACCACATAATCAATGAACCATGCCTTTCCAGTAGGTTTCTTGAGTTTGTTTTGAAAAAGTGAGCAGCCTCAAGCCAATTGTGATGGGCTACTGTGTGCTGCCAAGAACATGCACTCAACACTCTCTTTTGACTTGTGTCACCCTAGAACAACCTCCTACATGCATATGTTCCAAGAAAAATTTCACCTCGCCAGGCATCGTAATGTATTGCAGTACTTGGCTCCTGACCCTCCCAGACACACGACTGCCTGTCCTCCTTATGGAACTGTGCAATGATAGTCTGACAGCATTCCTGGGAGTGATCCTCCGAATCATTATCCTACCATATTCAAACATCTGCCACAACGTAGCACTATTTCCGGTCTAACTACACTCAGGTCTCATCCACAGAGGCCTAACAGTAAACAATGATTATTATACATATAGGCCTTGAGCCAATATAACAGATTTTGGGATGTCAGAGCTTGCCTGTGTCAATCCTCGCATGACAGACTTGACCCCTTTACTGTACATGTCACCTGAAGTGCTAGATTAAAACTAAATCATGTACAGATAAGCTTGGCATCTTCTTCTTTGGAGTAATAGTCATCCAAGTCTTTACCAGGTAGTCCCTAATCCAACAGATTTTTCAGTCTCTCAGTTTAATGAATTACTCAAGTAATTCCTGAGACAGAGCGTCGTCAAGCCCCACTTAATTTTGACCCCCAGACACTCAGTCCCATAAGCCACAAGTACTTCAACACATGAAGAGTAATGAAAATGGGCACCCCTCAGTTGTACACCCCAGTAACAACTGTCCTCACCCTGAAAGTGTTTGTCTGACACTCAGCAAGCAGTGTAGATGTCAGATATATAACAGTGCAGGAGAAACAGCATACAATTGAAGGCAAGGAAGACAGCAAATTGTAAAGCAGTGTAAGAATTTTTAACAAAGTGTGCAACAGAAAGACAAGATTGTTAGAAGAAAAACAGTAGTCCCAGCAACCATAAAACCATAATGAGCATTGTGGTCTGTGATCAGACTAGTGTGGGTGGTTGGAGCAATGGGTTACCAACACACTGCCCAGTATTACATTGAGAAAGAATGGTCCAAAGTCTTCCTCCCATGCCCATAGTGCACCAGTTTTTGTCGTATTGAACAAGTCGGTGGAGCTGGTGTTTACCTAGATATTGTGGAGGTGGTGAGCACTGGGAGTAAGCAGTGCTCTCATCTCCCACTTCAACATTGTCAGCCTCTGTCTCCAAAGACATACTCTGTTTAGCAGGCGGTTACACAAGTCAGTCTGTCCATCAAGACAGTGATCACCTGTTCTCTCTCCCTGACCTCTTGCCACATGGAGCACGAGGGAACATGTGGATACCATCAGATTACCAGTGACACTATTTACATCATTATTGGTGCTGAAATGCTTGCTTTGGTGGCTCAGGAAACCCACCTCTGATGACTCCCTCACTGTTCTTAGACTATGGCGAAAACGATCACTTTATATATCTTGCAGTACAACTAGCACAGTTTTTAGAGTGATATGTCTAGTATCTTTTACTACTGCTACACTGTGACTATTGAATGAAGTTTAATGTACAATATGTATCACAGTGTTGATCGGTTGTAGGCACTCCATAATGTATGGATGATGGCTCATGTAATAGAGAATACCTAAACACATTCATGTTTGAGACCGATCCTATGAAGTTTAGGCACCAAAGTGCCAAACGTTTTACTCCAAAAAATATTAATCACTAGTTAACTAGAATCACTTCCTGAGCTTTATAGCTTCTTCACTAGCTTGGGCATAGGGAATGACGCTAGAGTGCAAATGGATGGACACGCATGCGCTTTTCTTACAATTTGCTATGCTCTCTTTTTTCAAACCACAAATAGAAGTTTGAACTACCGGATTTAGTAACATCCAGTCCAGTATACCAACTTTGTAAGCGGCAGTTGTTAGAGCAAGACAACATGAATACTGCACACCGAGTGAGTATTTTCATCTGTTATTATGAAATTTGTGCACTATACTAATGTATTTAATATCTGTCAGAACTCTCAATAAAACAGCCAGAGCAATCTCTCAAAGAACCAGGGAATTTATGGAAACAAAGGTAAAGTTAGTCTTACCTATATTTTTTATAGTCTTATTACTACAGGAAACCCTCCCTCATACATTGTTTTTATCTACTAGCAATGGTTTTAGTCCCATGTCGGGGTTGAGAATGCAGATACACAGTAGATGTGAATAGTTATGCTATGACACGTGATACTTGCTGTATTTTCCAAGTTCAGCCTCGGTTTTCGTACTTATGCTCACAATAATAGACTCTGCAGGGACATTTAACATAGTTTCTTGGCTCTAGAAGTCTAGAAGTTTTTAATTGCTAAAATTTAGGGACATTGCCCTCTCTTTAACCATTGGCTTTTGCTGCATACTTGATGTAATAAAAATTGCGACCTCTACTCTGAACAATAATTATGGTAAGTTACCCATATTCCCTGCAAAGCTGTCTCTGTACCCATCACATTTTGCTTTACCTTTGCATAATATTATAAGCTGCGTGTGTTTGTACGTAGGTGGAACAAAGAAAGCAGTTTGAGTGCCTATTGATACAACATGTGAAGCAGCAGGAGGAACTGGGTCAAAGAAGTGTGAGAGGACCATTTGAAGAGAAGAAGATGACACAACCTGCACAAGAATGGTAGCTACATACCTTAAAATTCTCTCAGAAGCTATACTTATAAGCTAAGTTTTAGCTGTTGTGTATAGTCATGCGTCAAAAACGAGGTAGTAAGTCTTTTTTGTCAACTACATAATTATATAGACCTGTAAAGTGCTCCCCTAGACTGCGGAGTGTCGTGGGTTCAAATCCCACCTATGTCAGCTCTTCTTGTTTCCAATGGAAAGAAAGAACTATCCGTGGTTTGTTTGCTTTGCCTCCTCATTTTTTGACATGGGTATGACAGACAAGGTGGTTAAGCTTAATTCACACACACGCACACATAATTATATATAACTCAGCAGCATCCTTGTAGATATACTGCACCTTTGCAATTGCAGCCCGCTGTATGAAGACACTGACAGACAGGTATCAGCAGCCACTGTGATCCAGGCAGGGTGGAGAGGCCGGGTGACAAGGGCCAGAGTGACAGCCATGCATCGTGCAGCTGTGATAATTCAGGCTAGGTGGAGGGGGGTTCTAGCTCGTCGATCATTGGCCCTGATGAGAGAACAGAGGAGAAAGTTTATCTGGGCTGCCACAGTCATACAGGTATATAGATCCTTTGTTCTGTATACTGATGTAGGTTTCACCATTCTGGAAATCTTAGGCTATGTATCGAGGATATTGGGTGCGGTGTAAGCTACGCCAGGTGATGCAACATGCCAAGTATGTCAGTGATGAGGAGAACAGTCTCGAGGAGGACATTGATTTGAATATGAATGAAGAAGTATGTTTTGGCTCAATATTTCAGTACCACATTTACTTAGCTACTGCTTGTACTCATAGTGAAAATTCAATATCGTGTGTGATTAAAAGCTTCTTTTGACTATGCAGGATTTGTTAGGAGAAGATTTTGCTCCATTCAGTCCACCAACCCCAGTGTGTCCTCCAATCACTACTGCTACCTCCTCTCACCCTGACACTCTCTCTCATCTGACACCTGACAACTACCATGGCCTGCAGAATGACTCAATAAGGGAACCAGTAATTTCCCACCAAGGCTCAGAATCAGCTGCATCTCCTGAAGGTCAGTGGCATGGAGAACAACGTAGGAAACAATGGACTCTTCTCTGTTTATCTACACAGAAGCGTTCAGTGAGTCAGGGGGTAGATGGAGTGGAGCCAGAGAGAGTGGGGAGAACTGGGGCCCTCCTACTCATGCCTGGACTGAAGATGACCGGAGAACATCCTCTGCTGTTTCTCAGGGCTCTCTCGAGGGTTCTCCACATCCTTCATCTCCCATATCGGGAAAGAGAGTAGTAAAAGAGAACATAGCTGATGAATGGTAGGAGGAGCCCTAGGGTTCAGTCATTAGTTGTATCATTGCTCTTGTCTTGAGTATTCCTGGTAGTCTTATATTCAATGCTGTAGTAGATTTCGTCTTGTGCAGTACATGAAGGACTACAGCGTACATGCTACTCAGTTGACAACAATGTCGCTGATGTTTTTATATCTTTAACTTTTTGATGTCCTCATCTAGTGAGACACACAGTTTAACCCATAAACATTCTTTTCACTGCACTACACCAGGGATTCAAGACCGATACTACAGTCAACCTCCTGATGAAAAGAGCCAGAAGGCAAAAGATGTTTAAAACAAAGCTGCACAAAGGAAAAAGAATGGCAGTATGAACTGTACATAGCACAGCTGGTGAATGTAAGGTTTCAAACACTTTTCGCTCTTGAAACTTATGTCCTCCCCTAACGTAGATTCATTTGACCTGAGTAACCCTGTTTTGTTATTCTGTGTGTAGATCCAGCTGAAAGACTGGCTGCATTCCAGAGAAAGGGTCATGTGGTGATGGGCCAACACTGATCCAGGACGGTCAGATCAGTCTCATCACTGGGGACAGCATACTTATCAGTCACATAACTCCCCAATGTCATCAACAAAGATGTATCAGTGAGTACAATAAAAGTCCGTACTGTATGTACAAGCAGGTGTTCAAAGAACTGCTGGCATTCTACTTTACTTAAACACCTAAACACTCACTGATTCATGTGCCTTCAAAGGATGAAAGCAGATTTCCACGAAATACCTGCATTTTTACTGGCTTTTTTTCAGCTGCACTAATCGGCTTTCTGGCAGTGGTTCAAGCATAGCATTCTATGATGCTCGACTTAGCTTTCTCCTTAAACAAGAATTACATAACATACAACATACAGTACTAGTGATATGTGTGTAAACCACTGTTAAGATGTATACTTAAGCACGTCCTACGTCTCACTACACTAAATATCGTGATAAACACGCAAAAACTCGAACTGCTCGCTTTACTCGCCAAAAATCCATTACATTCCTCTAGTTAGACAGGTTTTCATACTATATAAACCAGCATTTAGCATTATATAATGCACATTAATTTTGTGCACCATAGCAAGGCAACTTGTGTTGTGTAAGCCCATTTAAGTAACGTCTGCTGTATCTAATTATTTCTTCAGGTGGCATCATGACCATACCGTGATCCACAGGACGTTGAAAGTGCATTAGTGTCATTTGCCAAGAAAGCTGGAGCTTGAAAGCCAACACTAACAGTATGTTGTATGGCATGTGTTTGTATGTGTTACAACCAAATTTTAACCTTTCAGCACACCATCACATCCAGTTGCACTCTGCCACAACTAGACCAGAGAGTATTAGCTGGGTATGTCTCCTACATTAGTAGTAAGTTACAATGTGTCTTTAGTGACCTCATGTCAGTTCTCACTCCCTACGTCTTATTCCAGGACGGATTCGCGTGAATCTCTTGAGAGTCTCCAGCAGCTCTCAGGCAACAGTAATAATGAAAGGGACATGTGTTTCACCTATATTCATGTGTTATTACACTGCGTTATTAAACATTTCTCTACATGCAACAATAGTGATAGCAGTGAGAAAGTAATTATTGCTGGGTGATTGTTTATGTTCCACCCAGATTTAGTCTCCAGCGTACAAAGTTCCGTTACCAATTAGATGTTGTTTTGATTTTCATGAAGAACTTTCCCTGTCATTTTGCCATTGATTGAGAGAAACACATCAGCGGATATTTGCAAAATATGTGAGCAACTACTGGCCGACAAGACAAATTTGTACTTTTCAATTGGTGAACACTTATACTGCACTACTTACATAGGGTGCACAATTTGTCGCCATCCGTTTTTCGTGTTCACACATTTGTCACCCCTGTAGTATTGAGAGTATTAAACAAATTGTGAACCTCTCCTTCCCAAACTGACTATCAATCTTTGCTAAATTCTGCATTTGCTGGAATGTACCTTGTTTCAAGATTTTTTGGAGAAAATGTGCTGGTTTTTAAAATTTTTGGTGGAAATCTGAAAATAAGGAGCAGAACTTTTACTTGAGACACAGTTTTAACAGCAAGCTGTTCTCTCCAGAATTTTGTGTACATGATGTAATTATTTTTGGTGCAGATCATAACAGAGATTTCGGCCATTAAAGAAAGCGTAAAGACCATTGATTTTATTTACCCATTTATTTACCCATCAAAACTTGTAAAATGTGTTCGTGCCTATAACTTGCTTATGAGGGTCCTATAACAATGAAAAGCACTAAGTGCAACCCTCGGCGAACTGCGCGTGCGCGATAACTGCTAATTGATGGGCGCGTGCCGGACTATTGCCTAGTACGTATGCGTTTTACTCGTGGTCTCCCGCTATAGCTCGCAGAGATCTGACCACGGACTAGCTCAGTAGTATATAGCATGCGAGAGTCGATACACGCCCTTCGTTGTGACTTCTTGTACCTTCAAGATACACAGAGCAAGCGATGGCCGACTACGCATTAGCCCGCAGAATGCCGGAAGCGCTCTAGCTTTGCAACGGAGCATTTTCAGAGAAACCGCCTTATTTTCTGACCTTCGTCGCCCGTTGGGTAGATGGTATCGTTTCTGGGACGAACAGACGTTCGAGGAGTGAGATATAGAGTAACAGACAGACAGACAAACAGACAAAAGCACTGAAGTGCAAACCCTCGGCGCACAGTGACGCGGCATGCGTAAGTAAACGCATGTACCACTAATTGATGGGCTGGGTTTAGTTTTAGCTGTTACTCGTGGTCTGTTGCCAGCTCGCGCAGAGTCTGACGCGGGCTAACTACACTAACTAGTAGCGAATGCATGGCATTTTTGGCGAGCGGAAGCGAGCTTACAAATGGGGTCTAATCGTATGAGTCACTCTTGTGTGTGCACAAAACAGTGAGATACATTGCACAGGACCAAGTAGGCCGAAACAACCTTTTAGACCCGAGCGCAGTAGACAATTCGAGTCGAGTCAAAAACAGTCAGACGACAGCGCGAATCAGGCATAATCTGGCAATCTGATTGGTCTTGCAGGAATAGGGAACAAGTGGCAATGTCTCTCTCGTCGCTGGACTGTGCAGCAATTCTCGATAGCTTCGGAGGTGTTCGAGCCTGTCGTGTTGCGATTCCCCTGATTCCGCTCGATTCAGGCAGCATATGAAAATTTTGAAATCCCTTTCGGATAAAAAGAAGCGCGTAATGCTGGAGCATGCGCAGTTGGACGACGTACGGTGACAAATTATATATAATTATATATAATTATAAATAGAAAAATCGCGCCGTTCGGACCGCTAGGTTAGCTCGCTTCCGCTCGCCAACTAGATAGCATGCGAGAGGCGATACACGCCCTGCGTAGCACCTTCTGGTGCCTCCGAGGTACACAGAGCACGCGGATCGATCAGACCGTGGTAAGCCATCCCGTCCGTTGTGTATTTGCATATTGGCTTTTTCGCGCTGTAGCTCTGCAACGGAGCATTTTCAGAGAAAACCCCACATATTTTCTGATGTTCGTTGCCCGTTAAGCGGGTTGTATCCTTTGTGAGACGAACAGACACTCGAGAAGTGAGATTGAGAGTAACAGACAGACAGACAAACCCAACTACAGTAACCCTCGCTGCGCATGCGCGCCGAGGGTTAATGAAAAGCACTAAAGTGCAAACCCTCGGCGAACTGGGGATGCGCGGTACCGCTAATTGATGGGCTGGGCTGCTATTAGTAAGCGTTTACTCGTGGTCTCCCGCCGGAGAGTCTGACACGGGCTAGTAGATAGTATGCGAGAGTCGATACACGCCCTTCGTTGTGACTTCTTGTGCCTTCAAGATACACAGAGCAAGCGGACCCGGTCGAGGTAAAAAGCCTGTTCAATGGTTAAATGGTTATTATTGCATACACCAGTAAAGGCAGCAAAAAAAGGAAAAAAAGGACAGAAATAATGGTATCAATCAATCATCATCATACCCTGGGTTTACAGAACACGCACACAAAAAACAAAAAATAATGGAACATGGAGAGACATAGTCCGGGGTTTAGGTGAGAACGGCAAGTCTGGTGAGAGACAAAGACAGCACTGTCGGCAGCACGAACCAAGGGGGCTACCCATCCCGCCATGACATCCAACAGATGCCACGTGTTCGTGTCTAGCAGGGCTGAAGTCACTCAAGTTGACTTGCCTGGAACCTCATACCACCATAGATCAGGATTGCGGGGGCGTAGGCAGAGGTGAGATACCATCACAGACTGTCGGCAACACGAACCAAAGGGGCTACCTATCCCACCGTGACGTCCACTGTCGTGACGCGATAAAAATGGCCGACTAGGCATTAGCCGCAGAATGCCGGAAGCGCTCTAGCTTTGCAACGGAGCATATTCAGAGAAAACCGCCTTTATTTTCTGACCTTCATTGCCCGTTAAGTAGGTCGTATCGTTTGTGAGACGAACAGACATTCGAGAAGTGAGATTGAGAGTAACAGACAGACAAACCCAACTACAGTACCCTCGCTGCGCATGCGCGCCGAGGGTAATGAAACTTGGTACACTGATGTATATACCATGATAAGAGTTCATCGAAACAGAAATTACACCGTTTTGGAGCAAAAAGAAAGCGACTCAGTGACTATAGAAACTTCTCAGAAAAGGGGAACACTGAAGGTGAAGCCCAGCTCAAGAATAAGTCTGATTCCACTGCTGTTGAAGAGGTTAACCTAAAACTAACAGTAAACTCGAAGAAAGAAGGGCTGATTTTACATCCAAAGAACCAAGAGAGGCTTGGCTGTAGTGGAAGCATCACCTATATTGGAGGGCTCCAATGCTAGTGCAGAGGGAATCTCAAAAAGAACGACCATTGGTGACTCCACAGATATTAATGACAGTAGCTAGATGTTATGACCAGGCAAGGTATAATTATTATACAGGGAGTCTGGTGACCTCTTTGAGTTAGGGCGGATGAGTTGAGTGACGCTGTTTTTGAACAGGTCAGGAATGACCAGAGGACATGTGAGGAGCAAGTTTCTTCAGAACAGAAAAAATGAAAAGCACTGAAGTGCAAACCCTCGGCGAACTTCGCATGCGCGGTGATGGGCTGGGCTATTTAGTATGCGTTTACTCGTGGTCTCTCCCGCTAGTAGCTCGCGGAGACTCTTACACGGGCTAGCTACAGCAGTAGATAGAATGCGGGAGTCGATACACGCCCTTCGTTGTGTCTTCTTGTGCCTTCAATGAGCTTATACACACACACAGAGCTAGAGCAAGCGGACCCGGTCGAGGCGATGCGCATGCGCGTTTTCCGCAGCGCAATGGGCATTAGCCGTATATACAATGGTGGAAGCGCTCTAGCTTTGCATTTTCAGAGAAAACCTTTCGAAATTTATGACCTTCATTGCCCGTTAAGTAGGTCGTATCGTTTGTGAGACGAACGAACGCTCGAGAAGTGAGATGTAGAGTAAAAGACAGACACACAGGACGACTATACTTAACCCTCGCTGCGCATGCGCGCCGAGGGTTAACGAGAGGTGTGTTGGTATGACAAAACTAACTTCATTAGAGATGTGTTTATAACAAACCAACAACCACTACTCAGGTGTTTACATTTATGTGTAGGCTGAACTCACCATGGAGGTAGAGCAAGCACAAAGAATGATTGCTGAATATCAAGAGGCAGAGGTGAGGTTAGATGTTAATTTTGACACACTTGTAAGGGGTGTACTGTTATACCCGGAGGTTCATGGGTTATGCAAACACCCTGTAGTTTTGTTATTCCTCCTTCTATTAAACGAAACAGGCCATACTTACTCCCCAGTTACTAGTAATTCTGTAATTCACCAAACATAACGATTTTTGGTTCAGTTGTACATTACACCTTACTCTTCATCATCAGCAGGGTGAATTTGTTTTGCTGAATTCATTATAATTCAGATTTTGTAGACGATTGAGTTGGGACAATAAGAGGTTTTATGAAATTGATAATTTTTTTGTGGTGGTTCATGGTTGATGGTTGACAGATGATACAACAAAGTCATTCCTTCTATATGATTGTATGTATCTCAAACAAAGAGAAGTGAATGGATGGGTGCCGAATACTAGACCCTCTGTGCTATTCACTACACATATAGGTTTATAGCTGAGCTGATCATACAGTTCTTTGGTAAGATTTGACGTGCACCCTTTACCTTAAGGCTATCACTGTAAATTTCGTTCTGCGTTTTCGACATACAATTTCACATCACCAGCTGGTTGTTTTAACACATATAAAGTATGTAGTTGTCCCAGCAAATGACATATTTCTAATTATGTTCTTTTAACCCACCCAAATACTGTCTTTACTTGACACACTATGGTGTGTAGTTGGATGTGCTGTTTTGCTGATGATGTGAGTTTGTTGAAGTTTTCTAAAATGAGTTTTTCAGCTCCAGAA